AAGCAGGTGTGACCTCTGGTACCTTTGCTTATTTATAGTCAAACTGGATCATCTCAAAGTAGGGGCAGACAGAGAAAGGTGTGGGGAAAGGAAAGAAGGAAGGGAAGAGGAAGGCAAAAGAAGACAAGAAAAAACAGAAGAAGAAAAGAGAAAACTTCTTTTTCTCTAGCCCCTTAGGCATTCCCTGCAGCAGGGGTGTGGCCGGTCTTGCCAGTGCCTCTCATGCCCTTTTGCAGATTCTGGGTATACATTTCCCTTAAGACTGGTTGTCTGCAGAACAGGGAAACAAACCAGAACCCCTCATAAATCAGTAGAGGTCACTGCCAAGAGCTTTGTACACTTGCTGTCCCTGGCAGTGATCGACTCATTGCATTTGGGAAATGGCCAAAGACCCTGAGTCTGATCTTAATTCTCATTCCCAGAAAAATCTCAGCTCTCTGCTCACCCACCCCCTTGTTTACTGTCTTTGTGTTTCCTAGACAAAGCTGGCAAGGAGGAAGGAACACAGTTCCATAACTGGGGACATCAAAGGCTGCGATTCTTTGCTTGGGGGAGGAGGGGCTGGACAGAGGAGAATCAGGAATCCCTAGGCTGTGGGAAAGGGAGGCTGGAGCCCAGGCCCTGCAGGGTGCATGGGAGATCTGCTGAGCTTCTCAGGTTCTGCTTCTGTCAGACCTGAGCCTCACTCGGATCTGCTCTTATTGCTTTGGTTTTGTTCCTTTGAGGGTGACTGGAGACTCATGGTTTTGAAGGGCTGGCAATGGGGTTGGTGAGATGAGACCAAATCATGGTACCCACCCTCCAAAAGATGGGGCTCTTACTTCCTGCTTTCTCCACACACCATCCTTGCCTTGGTAGCTGCCTTCAGAGTCAGCCATATGACATAGAGAAGGTGACAGTGACTCAAACTGCTCCTTGGACTCCACCAACCCACCCTGGAGCGGGGACCCCACTCCCCACTGCTCTTCTCTCCTTATGTCCTTATGGTATCCTTCCTGCTCTGATTGCTCAAACTGTAAAGCTGCACCACCAAACCTTTCTCTCCCAGTTCCCAGAGAATTGGGAGACATATTGCTCTGCTGTGCTCACATCTTCCTACCTGGAAAAGGAGTTTTCTGGTTGATCCACCGCCATTCCCTGCCTCTGACAGTGTTGACGGTCCCTAGTTACATCCATTCCTGCACCTGTACTTGATCTTCTTTGCAGCCATTAGGTCCAATTGGCTGTGTGCACCACTGTGCCAAGTCTGCTTGGCCTATAGAATGTGGCGATGTGACAGAAGTCCTGTTTGTCTCGTTCAGACTGTAATCTCAGTGCCTGGCACCTAGTAGATGCTCACTAAATATTTGCTGAACGTTGCTGTGTTTAAATGTTCAGGCATTTGCTTTATCCTGCTCTATTTCAATGAACAAGGTCTTTCTTTTAGGGGACCCGACTCTTCCTGCCCACAGTGAGGCTATAGGAATTAGCTGTGTCAGGGGTGAAATATGTTTCCAAGGCAAGAAGGGTCAGGCTAGGAGAGGTTTCCTTACTCCCCTTGGGGAGTCAGAGGGGTATTGTGAGATGTATTGGGGATTGAGATCCCTCTGAGAGGACAGAACAAGGAGCAAGCACCTATCGTTCTGAAGAGGACTTTGGAGAGGGTCCAAATGTTAGGACAGGCCTTTCCAGATGACTCAGGAGCCACCTGGCTCTGTCAGCCAGACAGAAGCGATGCCTGACACAAGAAGGAGACAATGAGTCATTTTAACTCTGGGTTAACATTTGTACCTAAGATTTAAAAGTTAGAACAATTTAAAGAAACAACAAATGAAAGCAAAGACCAATGACGCCCCTCAGTCAGGACTTTGAGCCTGTCAGGGACGGGGGAGCCAAGATGCTCATGCTCCTTCGAGCAGAGTACAGCCTGCATCTCCTTCCATACAGAGAGCAGGAATGTGACCCAATCATAAGCCACAGCAAGCACAATAAGCATTTCAGTGAACCAAGAAATGTATATTCCTGCATTTTCTGTAACCATAACAAAATAACGGAGACTGGGTACTTGATAAAAAGATTTATCTCATTCACCGTTTGGGAGGTTAAAGTCCAAGATCGAGAGCTCTGTCTCTTGTGCCTCGAGTGAGGGGTCCCCGGCTGCATGTGGTAGATGGCATCAGGGTGGTAATATGTGTGGAGAGGGAGAGATCCCATTATGAGTCAGGCAGCAAGAGAGATGAGGGGCCAGGCTGGTTCTTTTTATAACAACACTCTCTCATGGGAATTATTACCTGGCATCCTGCAAGAACTGTATTAATCCTTTCTGAGGGTGATTCCCTCTTCCCCCAAGGATCTAACTATCTCCCACTAGGACTCACCATTTAAAGGTTTCACTACCTCTGAATGTACCACACTGGGGATGATGGGGAAACACAGCCAAACTACATCCAAAGCATAGCTCCATGTAAATTCAATGAATGTTTGAAACTATGCTGGACACGACACACCTATGAGAGATAAAAACATACTGTCCCCACCCTCAAGGAACTTAAACTAGAAGAGACTGGATTGTCGTATGAAGTTTTCAGAAAAATGTACCATGCAGTATGTTCACACTGACCAAAGCAGAACTTCTCAGGACCATCAAAGTGGTCTCCAAACCAAGCCAGTGTGTAATTCCACTTGATTCCTTATAGTGAGTCTGTTCTCATGGATGGGGTCACCACCCTGCTTTTAAAAATATGGGAGCATCTTCAGAACAATGAAGCTGGTCCCAGATGGGACTCTTTGGGATTCAATTAAAGATGGGGTGCCAAGGTCCCCTCATGGGACCAAGACATTGCTTGCTTTCTGCTTTCACTTTGAGTTTAAATTTTAAGTAGCAAAAAAAAAAAAAAATACAATATATCTATGGTGTGGACAGGGCATGTATGTACACACACGTGTGTACAGGTAGATCAAGCTATTTAATATATGTATTGCCTCAAATGCTTTTTTCTTTTTTGCTAAGAATGCTTAAAACTCAACATACAGTATGTTGTTAAGAAGTATAGTTATTGTGATGTGCATTAGATGCCTTGAACCTATTCCTCCTGTCAAGCAGAAATGCTGTATCCTTTGACCAAATTTCCCCCAATCCTCATGACCCCCATCAGCCTTGGCAACCACCATCCTATTATCTGCTTTGTGACTTTGATTACTTTGGATTCACAGATAAGTGCGCTCTTGCCATATTTGTCTTCCTGTGCCTGGCTTCCTTCACTAATGTATTGTGCTATGGTTCATTCATGTTATGGTGCATGACAAGATTTCCTTCTCTTTTAAGACTGAATAGTATTCTGTTAAATGTTTATAACAGAATATAAATACACATCTGTACAGATGCCACAGTTCCTTTCTCCACTCAGCCCCTGATAGATCAGCCCAAGTCCACTCCATATCTTGGCTATTATCCTTTTACTTTCTTTTGAGCTGGGAAGAGAGACCTTGACCATGGCTCCAGCTTCCTCCAGCCAAACCTTTGAGAACACTGGTGGAAGATCTTAGCCTTTTCTTTCTATACCCTCCTCTGGGAAGAAGAGCCAAGGAAGAGGTCCCTAATCACCAGTCCTGCCTCTCAGATGGGTACTCACTCCTCACTCACCAGTTCTGCATTCCTCCTGAGCACCGGGGCCTTTGCCCAACTTCCCAGGCTGAACAGCGAGCACCATGGGAGAGATGCTTCTTCTACTAGGCCTACTGCTAACAATCGCACCCTCCCTAGAGAAGGCCCACCCTTCCTCCTAACAGGTCCTCTCGTGGGACAATCCAGTTTTCCCCTGCAGCTGAACTAAATTCCACTTCAATGGATAAATAATCCTTTTTTTCCTACCAACAAGTTCTCTATTTTCAAGGGCCAGGATTTTCCTGTCCTTTACGAGAATAAATCTGCTAGCAAGAACCAGGCACCTATAGGATTTAGTTGGAGGACAGGTCAAATTTACTGCCAAGGCCAGAATGTAGATGTCTCTAGGAGCCCAGGAGAAGTACCATACCGCCCCACCTGCTCCTCCTGGATACCACCCTCAGGCCTGGAATATGAGCCCACATGACCCAAGTTCTGGTTGCCAAGAGCTCCCTTCCAGGGCAAGAGAATGGCCATAATATGTACAAACTTACCCAATTGCATCATTGCCTGGGGGAGGCATTTATTTTAATTAAACTTTTAATTTAGAGACACACTTTTTTATCTATTTTTATTTATTTTATTTATTTTATTTAGAGACACACATGCACTTGTGAGAAACAATGTAGAGATGTACCATTTATCCAGTTACCCCATGAAGACTTCTTCCATAGCCATGACATTGACCTGGCTGCAATTCTCTGACATTATTTAGATTCCCCAGTTTTACTTGTACTTATAGATCCATGTGTGTATTTAATTCTGCACAATGTTATCACATGTATAAGATGTGAGATCCACCCATCAACAGCAAAGATCCCTCCTGTCGCCTTATATAACCACTCTTTCTTCCCTTCCCCTCTTACAACCATTAATCTAGTCTCAATTTCTATAATTTGTCATTTTAAGACAAATTCTATTTGGGGTCATATAGTATATAACCTGGGGATTGGCTTTTTCACTCATCGTAACCCCTTTTGCAGTTCTTTCAAGTCTGTTGGGTGTTTCTATAGTTTATTTCCTCTTCTTGCTGTGCCTGTGGTTTTAATCATCACATACCACAACATGACACCCAGACTCCACTACAAATCCTTTGGGACATGATCCTTAAGGATCTTTTGCTCTAAGAGAAAAATATAACTCACGAATTTATTTGTTACTTATATTTACTTATTTTGGGTGCTTTTAAGTAGGTGTGTAGAAAGGGAGGAAATGTTACAAAGTTTCCTTAGGTTTGTCCAACATACCTAGGTTCCTTAGTTTCTTGCCCTAAACAAGTGATCAGTTGGGTTATAATTTGCTTTTAGTGTTGATTGACAGTTCTTTCTTGTGTCTCCCTGCCTCCCTCCTCCCCCAGGAGCATATCTACAAGCTGATGAAAAGTGACAGTTATGCCCGCTTCCTCCGGTCCAATGCTTACCAGGACATGCTGCTGGCCAGGAAGAAGGTATCTCTGGGAAGGACAGGCTTGCCCTGCCTGAGCACTATCGACTCTTGCCTGCTGCTTGCTGCTGGTGTGAAATGAGAATATCATCCCTGGGGTTTTTATTTATTTATTTTTCTTTCCTTCCTTCTCTTCTCTATCTGCTCCCCTTCAATGGAAAACAGTTAGGATCGTCACCACCCCAAGCTCCAGGATGTAGCACCCCTCCTCCCTGTCCCCATCATCTCTCTCTCTCTGCATGGTTTGCCCACAAGGAGGGAAGTATGCCCAAATACCAATGCCACAGGAGCTCAGCACAGAATGCCTGGGTGACAGTGACCCCAGAAAATCCCTTACAACATCAAAGAGAGCCCTTTACTGCAAAGTCCAGCTCCCTCCCCACAGACTGTCCCTCCCTGACTGGCCTAGAGGTGAGTGTGAGGCAGGGATTGGGGCAGCCCCCCCATGAGTAGAAGACCTGCCTGGTCAGTTTAGGGGAGGCCGCCTGGCATCTGACGTCATCCTGGGTATTGGTGCCTCCTCTACACGCCCTTCTTTGCCCTCACCTGCCCCACAGTGTTTCCCTGTTCTTTCAACCAGGAAGTAACTGCATCCCAGCCCCTTCCTCCTGTTCCATCTAGGTGAAGTCATGGCGCCCTGTGGCCCTTGGAGGCATGGATCTGGGGGCCAACCCAGGCACCCTCAGCCTGCAGGGGGTCAGGACGACAGCAGGGATGAACTCAGTTGGGTTTCTGGGAAGAAGAAAGGAAGAGCAAGGAGGGCAACAGGGCTGGGAAAGGGGAGGCAAGAGACAGGGCTCATGATTCTAGAATGCCTGCCCACCATCTGGGCTTTCCAGCTCTGAGCTAAGGCCCATGTGTGGTTAAGTGTGGCTCGACTCGCACCAAGTCCCAAATTTCCATGCCATGTCACGTAGGAGCACATGCATCTCTGTCTTGCCCCCTCCCATCCTCCCAACCCCAGTCCCCACATGTGTGGCTGTCCATCCACAGACTCTGTCAGGCTGCCTTCAGTCACACACCCCTTCTCTGTGTTCCATCAACCTCATGTGCCAAGATCCTCTCTGTGTATCCGGTTGGTACCACATAACTCCAGAGTCTAGGGGAGCATTTATATCCAGCTCTCCTGACCCTCCGTAATTCTCCGAAGAGCCCTGATAGCCTGAGAAAGAGAACAGGACTTCCAGAATGTCCAGAATGTCAGAAACCCAGCTCGACTGTCTCCCACTCCCCCCCCACCCCCACCCCATGTCACTAAATGCAAAACCTGGCCTTTGGCTTCCTCCCGTGCTGAAGGACGTCAGTGAAGGGGCTCTGCTGGAGGGGGCTGACACCACACACATGACTATTTGTTTAAGAACTGAAAGAGAACCGTGATGGAGACTTTTGGTATCTCAAGTCCAAATCTCCTGGGAGAAGGTCAAAGTAAGTTTTTCTTATTTGTTGAGGCCCAAGTCACCTAAACGGATCACAATTTGGGGACATTCTAAAACTCTCTAGCAGTTTGACCCGTGGGGTCTGTCTGTACATCTAGGGGAGAAGTCAGAGGCAGTCCGATCTCCCTGCAGGTGCAATCACAAATGGAGAATGTGCCTAAAACAGGAAGTGAGCCATCTGCCTGAGCTTGCAGATCCTCCCTACCCGAGGAAAACTCCGAGGAAGTCACCAGCAGTAGGGAAAGGACTAACAGCCTTCCCAAGAAATGGGACACTAGAAGTTCATTACTATTGCCCTCCCAGCCCTTGAATTAAGGGATATTCTTAAGGCAGAAAGCCCTTACAGATGCCAATGCCCTTCCAAAAATTGAGGAAGAGTTTCCTGAAGCAGTGACAAAACCTACCTTTCCTTCCCTTTCTTCCTGAGAGCCTCCAGACATGGATCTGATTTGTAACTCAGCACCTTCAAGTAGGCCTAGAGGATCTTCAGGTTTCAAAGGTGGGCTCAGGGTGTGATATTAACCTTCAGGTCATAATAGGTATGTGAGAGTCACCACCTCCAGACGAGACAGGGTACAAATTGGCCTCCTGTTTCTACTGAGAGTAACCCTGATAGAGTCCGGAGGCATTGCCTCTTGATCCTTCTTCCCTAGTTCTTCCTCTTTTCTGATATTTGGGAAAAAAAAAATTAAAAAGGGGGGGTTACTCTGAAGAACCAGGTTCTTAAGGGGTGGGGGTAGGGGCAGGTGAATGGGGTTTTGAGGGCTACTCCAGGACAATCAAATGCCCATGATGATGGGGTTCCAGGGTAGCTCAGGGGTGTTTGTTCAAGGCAGAGGAACCGAGGAAGTCAGGCCATCAGCTGCCCTCTGTAACAGCTCAGTGGCCAGGGCACAGAACGATAGGTACATAATACAGATCAGCTGACTTGAGCTCAATGTGTGTCACCTGGGCTACCCTTGGTGGCAAAGCTGAGCTTTGCCATCCCCAGAGTAGAGTCCTGGTATGGTTCCCAGAGCCAGGCGTGGGTCCTTCAGTTCCTCGTAGGAGAAGAAAGCCCAGCCCAACTCTGATGGCATGTCACTTGTGGGGTTTTTTTCCTTTCTTTCTGCAACCACGTATCTGTCTTCCAGCCACTGGCTGAGCAGGCAGGGCACGGCTGCCAAGGAAGCCCTCCAACTTTATCCACCCTGACAGGTGGCTGCCTTGGCCCGCCCCCCACGCTCTGCTTTCAGTACATCCTGCACACCCACAGGCACCTGCCTGCTTCCTCAGCTCCCCGGTTTCAGTTATGTGCTGGGTGTAGGTGCGTGTCCACTGAAGAGTGTGTAAGGTCCGCATTTCCCAGCCTTGGGCTCAGGACCCTGGAACCGGGCTCTAGCATAAACCAGCAGGTAGCTGGGGTAGAATTTTACTCTTCCCGGTAGGAAACCTGGGGAGAGAGTCAGGCACACCCCACACCTCTCCTCCTGTCGTAGAGAGCAGCGAGGCTCGGGAGAATGTTCACAGACTTTGGCTTCTCTTGCCCCTTCCTGGGAACCTCAGCTAAGAGTTCCCCAGGGGTGTCCCTGCCTCCAGTAGCACTTGGAGAGTGTACCTTGAAAGCATCGTCTGCCTGGGTACACAGAGGAGCATTTTCTGTCCAGAACACTCCTTATGGTATTGTCTTCTGAGGTCCCAGGCCCTTTGAAAATGCTAAGGACATGAATAAACCCTGCTGTTCTAAGGATGAGCAGGAGGGTCATTAGGATGTCATTGAAGTTAGCCAACTTTCCTTTGATCAGAAAAATCGCAAGAGAGAACGATCCTGACCCAGAGTCAGACGAGTTGATGATTTCACCTGCTTCTTGACCTTCCCTCAGCATACCCCCCCCCCCCCCCCCCCCACACACACACACTTCACCAGCCCTCAGAGCTAGTCTGCTCTGTGTCACCACTTGGAGCCCCAGCCTCCTGGCCACAAGCACCCAAGGCTCCTGCTCGTGGGAGTGGCCAGGGGAAGCAGTGAGCAAGAGGCTCAAGAGGAGCAACTGCCACTCTGTGCAAAGCCAGGGCTCCAGGTCCCTGGGATCCTGGCCCCAGCCCCACAGCAGGATTCCAGTCCCCTGGGGAAGCAAACTCCCCTCTCCCCACTGCTGCAAGGAGGCAGCATGGTTGCTCCTAGGCTTCTTTCCTGTCTCTCCCATCGACTCTGCCAACAGCTTTGGCTGCTTCTCTTTTCCCGTTTTTCGCCCCATTTGGCTTTGGTTTTTGTTCTTTAGCTGTGGCTGCTGCTGTTTGGAAACCACGTGTAAAGCTGAAGACTTTTTTTTTTTTCTGTATTTTCTCCCTACCTTTTTTTTTTTCCTCCCCTAAAGCCAGAAAGTGAGCAAGGTCGTAGAACTTCCCTAGAAAAGTTCACTCGCAGTGTGGTAAGTGGAGTGGGTTTTCTTCCCTCAGCGTTCTTCTGGTTTTGATTTTGGTTTTTTTTAACTTTTTTTAAATTTGTCTTTTCTTGGTTGTCGTCGTCTTTGGGGTGGGAGGGACTCCAATGCTTTCCCCTCAACTCACCCCTTTTCTTTCGCGAGTGTCTGCAGCTTCTCTTCCAGGGATGGATTTGTGAAAGAGCAGGCAGCTCCCTCTGCAGAAGGTGCACAGCCGACCGCCCAGCCTCAGCCTGGGTGTGTGATTGCTGTTCAGGGCTTTGAGGAGGAAGGGCCCCACTCCTCTTGGGACTGCGCGGTTTGTGCATCTTCTGCAGCAGCCCAGGGAGAAGGCCATCGAACGTTCTATGAAACAAATTGGCTCAGAACCATCACACATTTAAAAAAAAAAATCCAAATTTCCCTCTGTGAACTCTGACAGTCTCGCTGGTGTGGGTCGCAAGCTGATGTTGCTGTTGTAGGTGGCTTTCGCTGTGTGCAGACAGTGGCCATGCTGCATGGGTTCTGGCAATGTGATCTAGCTGGTGTGTGTCTTAGTGGCCTCTGCATGAGTTCCAGTATCCCTTGCAGCCCCCTGTCAACCTCATTTGCATAGCGTGACTAGGAGAGGAGGGCAGTAGCCAAGTCTCCCTGCATTGTCCCTGGTAGTTTTCCAGGGAAAGGCCCTGTGAAGCTCCCCAGGCCCTGATTCTGACAGTAAGTAAAAACAGGCTAGAGGTTCACTGCCCTGTAGAAAAGTGGCCTTCCCTTATGCATATCCAGCTTAGGTAGAGATCCACACAGCTCCCCAGCAGAGAACCCATGGTAACAGATGAAAAGAGTCGATGAGGGGTCTTGCTGCGTTGTATGGTGGGGATTCTATACCATGGTCTGTTGAACAGTGCAGACCCATCTCCCCTTTCCATGTTGGGCAGGATGTGTGCACAGGACTTGGTGAACAGGAAGTATTCAATCCTGCTCATTCGCTGACTCATCAGAAACAAGCCACTGAGTTCATGGTACCCAGACTGCACCATTAACATCAAACTAGAAAAAAAAAACAAGATGGCAGTCAGGGAGCGGGGATTCTGCACATGGGACCAGCCACATTTCCCTTCCCAAAGAGTGCAAACCCACTGAAGCTAATTTGTCTTGTTTCCCCGCCTCTAAGAGGAAAGTCCTTGTAAAACATGACTACTGTATATGATTAGTATCCTTATTTCATCCTTTTAACTTAGATTCTAAGAATCCCAGGTTGAAAGCAACCTACTCATTTGCCTGTCACAGCTGTATGCCTTTGAACTGCATTTAAACCTTATTTTGAATTCACTAGATATAGACGCACAATAATTCTGGTAGACGGTAATTAAAATATGGGTGCTCATCCCTTCTCTTCTTTGTTCTTTTCCTCTCTGTGGTCTTTCCTCATGAGAAATCAGAACATGCAGAATGCAAGGTCTGCTGGTCCCTTATCTGTCCTCATGGATGGTTTTCCAAGGCCATGCAGCCTCCCACACCAAGAAGGTGCAACAGCCATCAAGGCAAGGTCGATGGGACTTCTCTGCCCCACAATGGCTTGATAGAAAGTAGTGGGTACCTGTCTGTCTCTTTTGAAGCCTGGCTGCAGTGTCTGGAGCATGCTCAGGGATGTAGTTGACAAGCTGAGCATGTACTGTGGGCACCATGGACTCTCAGGTACATTGTGAAGAGGAAAAGCAGAATGTTTCTGGACAGGAAAGCCGTGCTCTTCAGGTTGACTGTGTGGGCTGAGGTCAAGAGAGGAGTCCTGGTACTTGGACAAGATGTACAAACATCTTTAGGCTTCTTTTCCTGAGAAGTGGGTATCAAAAAAGGCAAGAATGGCCTCCATGAAGTCCTATGAGGAGCGTTTATTGATGTTCCTTCAGCCCAGAGGTAGTGTTGGCTCGGTGGTTCTCCAAAGTCTGTTAACAAAGCAGAACGAGAAAGCACCAGCCTCCCTCCAAGAGTCTGAGAAGCACAGATGTTGTCAGGGTGGGCTGGAGAAGAAAGATACCCTAAGCTCCTGAGATTCGGGGCATTTATATGATAAAAGGCCCAAACTTCTAAAAATATAGTCCTTAATTCCCTGCTTCTCTTTTATGAACAGGAGACCATAATGAGTGGTGTATTCATATTTTGGGGTTCTAGTGGTGGAGAGGGACTTCTGTGTTCTTGGGGTAACACCGCAACCCCACAGACACAGCTAAGTATGGGGATGTGGCCCATGGCTGTAGGACATTGTCATCTCTCATACAACTCAAGGCTGGAACCTAAGAATTTGATCTCAACTGCCCCAGTGTTCTAATCCAATATAACCAACCAACTAGGTGTCTTGCAATTTGATAGGCATTCTCTGAATATGCTATATATAATGTGTTCAACTTCTCTAAAAGAAAATTTGCACAAATGTTTCATCTGCAAGCTGTTAAACTAAATGAAGGGCTAGCTAATGCCATTCCCATGTTGCCAGGAAAGATGTTTAAGAAGACCATCTACATCTTAGGGCTAATAATTGGACAGAGGCAGAGTGAAGCTAGGCAGCTCACAGGTCAAGGACATGAGGCTGACTCATTTAGGACTAATTAATGGTGGTGTGGGGGGGAAGGTGTTGATCCAGGTGGTTAAACAGCTCAGTCAGTCAGTCAAGACTGAATCTGGATCTATGACCCCCCATCCCCGAACACACCAATACCCCTTCTTTTCTTGGTAAAAGAGAAAAACTGAAAGAACAAATTGTCCTTTCCAAGTCTCAAAGTGTACCATGACATGGAGGGTTCATTAGTGGATGTGTCCCTATTATATGAGATCCTAAGAAGTAGTCTGAGTGTTTCATTGAAACTTTGAGGGCTATGCTACTTTGGATGCAGAAGGGGTCTGGCCCTCCCCAGTAGAGACAGTGCTATGGGAGTGTCTCCTTCCCATAGAAATTTCATTCTAAGTCATCCAGGACTTGAATATGCCAAGAAAATGTCTGAGAACCCTGTGCCAAAATTTGCGTCATTTGGCAGACTAGAACCATAGAGCCTGCTTAAAACCCTGCTTTTTTTTGATGGTGAAGGCCCAGGTTCAGAATCAAATGACTGAAAGTCCATGGCAAAGCGTAACTAGCCCATAGTATACTTTTATTGAAACAGAAAACAGAACTCCAATCCCATTGGTACCCAGCTGGCCAAGCAAAACACAGGCTGGGTTTCAGCCCCTACTTGACCTTCAGCTGTCCTTGTACAAGAATTACACACACCACTGTACATGGTGGCCTTTGTCATATTTCAGAAAGAGCTGTAACACATAGTAACTGCTCTAGGTAGCACCCAGACATAGCCTCAGGCCAACTGAACCTCTTTGGGGAAAACCTAGAATAGGAGAACTGGCCACCAAAGACAGAAGGTGTCAGAAGATCAAAGAAAGAGTTGGATAAATCTAGGATCCTACAGAGTGCAATTTATTAGGTATTTATGGACAGTGTCTTGGGTGACCCACATCCCACACCCAAGGGCAGGAGAAAAGGGTTTATATACTAAGCTAGACAATGGTGGCTTTGATCCACTGGAATGTACCTGGGCTTTCTCAAAAACTATTAACATGTCAAATATCAGTTAAGAAACAGTCCAAACGTCACTGGCCAGCACAAAATGCTTGGCTGACTATCTTAACAACTTTGTTTATCCTGTAGGGATTAGAATGTGTGATTGAGTTTACCAGGCATGCATGCAAGATGGTGGTCACAACCAAGATGGCTACAGTCAGGTTGAGCTGGATCTCTTCATTAACCAGAGCCTGTCTCTCCTTTATCCTGCTTACTGGGATAAAGTTTCCTTTTCCAGTGCTATGAAATATGAAAACCCCAGCAGTAAACACCTGGCGAGCCATTGTGAGCTGCCTTTACATCACCTTTTGTCTTGAGTTCAGTTTCTTCAGTAGGCATTACCGACTGGACAGGGTGTACTTTTCAAATGAAGGCCCAGTCCCTGCTGCTCGGTCAGTACCAACCAGCCTGCCAGTCTTTGCCGTCTTCCTGGTTTGTGGTTGACAGATGACATTGGGGACATGGAAAACCAGAACTGAAAAGCTTCTAGATTCTACAGGGTCAACCACAGGCTATGGGCTGGGGCCTCCCCAGGGCCTAACTCTGGAGACAGGACCAGGGGAAATGCTTGGGAGGAGGGCAAGAGGAAGCAAAGGGCCCTTCGCCATGCCACAGTAGCAGCAATGTGATTTCCCCTTTTTGGATGGCTGACGCCATCTGGGGAGGACTCCCAGCTGGGGACGAAAAGCTAGATAAAGTCCTCTGCCGCTTGGGCACCGTCCCATGGAAGAAGCCAGAGTGTGATGGCAGTTAAGTTAGGAGAAATGGCAACCTGAGTGATGGTAGCATCGGCCTCCCTGGACATCTCTGCCTCGTTGCTCAGTTGAAACCCCAGCTGCCCTGTTGAGAGGCATCAGCTCTAGCCCGGGGATGCAAAGGTGGAAAACAGAATTGCTGGTGCCTGAGCACATACTGTGGGCCGTGGAGAAGAGAGGCGATGAGAACCAGGTGTTTGTCCACCTCCTGGCAGAACATGGAGGTTCATCTTTGCCAAGATGCTCCTTGGAAGTGCAGCAGCCAGGGCCAGAAGCTAAGGCAGCCTCAGCACGTGACCAGTGGCATCTCTGTCCTGCCTGCCAAGGGAGCAGCAGGAAAATCAAAGGCGACAGGAAGCACTGAGAGCCAGCTGCTTCTCCCCCCTCTCTCCCCTCCCTCCCAGCCTAACACCAAGGGACAGGTACTGAGAGCCCAGGGTCAAGAGCTCACCCACACCCCAGGCAGCTCTGCAGGAAGAGACTTCCAGCTCCAGGCTGGGTGTTGACCAGAAGCAGAAGTCTGGGGCGCCTGGCAGGGGAGGGAGGGGGCAGGCAACAGGGCCATGAACCCAGCTGTGGCTCCTTCCCCAGGGGTTGTTTTCCCCTCCTCCTCAGGATGTCTTGGGGAACGGGCCAGAAAGCCCTGG